GCGTGCACCGGGTTACTGGGTTATCGACGTTCGTTACGTGTCATCTATCGTGTACCAACTTTTATCCTCTTGCCTTCCACATGTGACCCTTTCCCTCGATCGCTGTAAGTACCTATACCTCGCGTACATACAGGGATATACGTATATAGATGTCATGCTATAACGTATACGCATTTATGTACACGTGTGTTTGTGGTTCAGCGGTAGTCATACGTCAGTATGGGTATATGCTCACTGTGAACCTACACAAGTATACCTGGATGGACTGGGCTGTGGGGGGTTTCCCCGCGAAACGACTGCAATCCATTTTGTTATCCTCTCTTATGTCTCTCGTTCGCTTTCGCTCCCTTTTTTTCCAATATTTACTTTTTTTTTTTTATGAAGATGTAACTAAGATTGCCAGACCGACAAGTCTGTGATTATAGTTTTCAAAATAATTATTTAACATTACATTGAAATTTTGGGAGAGAATATTTCTTACACCATTGACTTCTACATTACGGAAGTTAAGAAAAAAAAAACAAAAATGCCCATTCACAGGTTAAGTACAAAAAAAATTATTTTTATCGTTCGATGATAAATTTTTAAGGATTCTAGTGACTAAAAATATTTGAGCTTGAGCTCAGTATATTTTTAAAAGATGTAAGGCAGCTGTTGTTTCAAACAGAACTGCATTAATGTAACTTTGTAAGATAACTACTTTGTTGAAGCTTGAGCCAATTATATTAATTAGTAAGAGAGAAGCGCACTAAAATAGCTTTTATACGAATTTTTTTATTTTTATTTTTAGTTTTTTATAAGCATAAGTCGTTGAATTCATTTTACTGTTTAATTTTATTTTAAAAAATTAAAGGAAAATCTTTATTTTTTTCCTCTTCTATTAAGCACACTCTTGAAAACGAACGACTTACAGTAAAGACATTGTAGGATCCTTTTTGCATGTTTGCGACCCACATACATCCCACTGTGCGACATGACGCAGACACGAAGATTTCCATTCATTCGAGACCTCTTGGACTTGCCTACTTGTTATTTATATTTCATTTTCGTTTTCAAGTACAGTTTGTAGCGCAGTCAGTACCGAGCGATTGCAGAGCTCGTATTGCAGGTCGCGCCTTTCTACACCCCCGCTTCTCGGACGGACGGCAGGTTAATAGGATTTTTATCTGGCATTTCCTTTCTGGCGTACGTGACGCGTGTACCTACGTGAGCGGATTATTTTGTCCTTTTTTTTTTCAATGCTCTTTTTTGCCCAACTCGTGTCTTCGCTTCCATCTCCTTTCACTTCGCGCATCGTCTTTTCCTCATCCCCTTTTTATCACACGCGACATACGAGTCAAGTCAATCTGCGCGACGAATTCAATTGCTTAATTTTCGACGCAACGGCAAATGGGAAGAAAACAAAATTCCGCGCATTTCCATTTGGAATTACAATCACGTACCTCCTCAATTATCCACCTACCCTACATTTAATGTATCCGTCAAAACACATGACAATAATTTAAATTGCCAATTTTCAATTTAATATTTAGATGCAAAGCTGTTACTCACGAGAGCTGAGGGCAACGCAACCGAGTTGACGTTTACTTACGATCCTCGCACAGCGATCACCCGGAAAAACGGAGAGTCAGGAAGACAAGGGGGACAAAAAACGACTATGGGTACCTTGTCTAACTGGGTATGAAAACGGAGGCGTTTCGACGCGACGACGCGGTGGCTGTGTTAACAATCGTGCAAAGACGAAAAAACCTCCAAGAGACTCCCTCTCCCCCTTTTGCTCTTTCACCGAATAAAAGCAGGAGTAGCTGTACGAAGTGAAAGACGGAGACACGTGCGCGCCTGGGAAGGGAGGAAGATCTGCTCTCAAAAAAGCCGCCCGAAGAGTAATGCACCCGCTTACGCGTCCCTTTGGGGCACGCGAAAGCTCCTCGTCCCATCGTCAACGCAAGCGCGAAGAAGATACGACGGCGGTGCGAGTGGAATCATCCGCGGATTACTCGCTAAATAAATTCCCAGGAACTGTTCGAGCGAAAAATCAGGAGAGCTGACCTTTTTAGGTTTTTACAAGCTGATTTATTGCTTTTTTTTTGCACGCTTATTGTTTAGCATGTATTAAACGGATACACATGGATTTAGCGTGGGATGATTGAAAGTCCTCAACTACGGATAGATTCGCTCTTCCTTTCCAAGTTTTTAATTTTGCGATGAGCAATATCGTATCGAAAAGATTTCAGGCATGAAAAAAAAATTTTTTTTTGCCATTCACACTGAGAGACTGGTTGAAAAGTCGTGCGAATTTGTATCGAATCCAAGCTTTGAAATCGACATGGAATGCGCAATTCGATCAATACCTGCGAGTATCCTTTGATTTCCTTTCCTGGAACTTCGAACCCCCGCAATATTTTTTAACGGAAATTTCAAATTTCAAAAAAATCATTTTTCATGTATCCTTTCCTCTCTTTCGAATTGCATAGATGAGATTCCACTGACACGCACTCTTAGAGTCTAGAAGGATCTTTTTTTTTTTTTTATGGAAAAATATTCCAAAGTTCAATTCAAATCCATAACCCATAGCTTAAAAAATATTCCAAATAAGCGAACGTAGAAAAATTCGTTTTAGCCACAGTACGCGTTTGATGCTCGGTCGAGATTGTTTATTGCTGCCTACGGGTATACCTCAGCGCACAGCGGGTGAAGAAAAAAAAATCTTCCCGCGTCTATCGGCCTCTCGGATAGCATATGGCTCGCGGGCATCGCACGACTGTTCGTCTGCATTTTCAAACTTTTGGCATTTTCAAAATTTTTGTACGCCCACGCACACGGATACACCGTCAGACAGATATCCTTTTTTTTTCTCCGAGGGCATGTGGCACAACTTGCTGTACGTACACGCAAGCCCAGAAAAGTTTTCCCCCACAACGGGAGCAACAGCAGCAGCACAAGCGAGCCGTCTATTCCACCCCATTTCTCATTTCCTCCTTCAAAAAATTTCACCCCACCCCCTACCCCCACTTCTGCTCTCCATCAGCACTTCACAAAGCCGCGGGAGCCTTATTCTTTACCTCCATACTTTTGCCCTCGAGATTTTCAGTCGGGATACACACGCGCGCTCTCTTACGTACACCACGAACCCATTGCCATTGCAGCTGGTGCATTATTGTCACGAAGACCACGACGAGGCCGAGGTTTAATTCAACGCGGAAACAATTACGCGCCGCTCTATCGATCTACCCCCAGAAAAAAAGGTCGCGAACCTCCGTCGACGACGTGAAAAATGAAGCGGAGATTATCCCCCTCCCCCCATCCCCCCGTGTATTCTTCGCGCTTTGTAGCGTGTCTTGTCGCATACGTGTGTACATCCTTGACGCGCCCAAGGCGTGAAAGAACGAAACTTTCGCCGAGATCTACGCGCTCAAAAGTGTTTTCGACGGCACACCCCTACAGCGCGACGCCAATGGGAAAAGTTGATTTTTATTTCGCGGCTGCCCTTTCACCGAAGGGGCGACAATATTTTACGCGGAAGGCGTCACTCTTCTCCCCCACCCCCGTCGAGCAAAGAGGAGAGTGCAGTAGTAGGTCAGCCGCACAGTGAGTTTCGCGAGCAGCGCGCCCCCGAGAACTCGCTGGCGATATGAGAATGTTTCGGTGGGCGTGCGCGCGAGCTCGAGGGCTTTTAATGATGGTTTTTTTTTTATTTTTTTTCCCACCTCTTCTTCGGGAAAGCTTCGCGCGTACTTGTAGCATGGGTTCTTCGGGAATTGTCGGCATCTAAAAGCTCTTGCGTTGGGTTATTTTGAGATAGTAAGCGGTGATTGTCTTTTTGCTTCGCACTTGAGATATAACATTTTATCGCTTCGTTGTATGGGAGCATATGGCTCGTAGGTTCATGATTTTTTTTTTTTTTTTATTGTTTATTCGATGACATTAAATTTGTGTTTTTCAATGAGATAAATTTTATATTCGTGTAGCCATGTACGAGAAATACGAGGGGTGCACTATTGAGGTCCCCAAGGAAATACACGTAAATCCGTTCTTTCTTCGAGAACGAATGATGAGATATTACATTCGTGGGGAAGATTTTCTCTTTCGAAATAAAAAACAATCGGTAAAAGTAGGGGGGGAGGGGCACTTGAATGTATAATTTGATGTGTATACGTAGATGCTTTGTAAAAACGAGCAAAACCAACATTATTCCCTCGAGTGGCTTGCATTTTCATTTTTTTTTTTTTTTTTTTCCTCATTTTAGAAATAAAATCACGAGCACTCGAAAACTGCTGAATTCCGTGCTTTGCGTGTCGTTAAAAAATCAAGTGAGCGAGAGTAGGCATAATCGCAAACTATAAAACAGAGCACCTATACTAGCTGCGTTTGAGCTGTTGGCAAATTATCGCTCGCAACAACCTACAAACCAAAATTTTGAAAAAAAATATGTACACAAAACAAGTTATATCCGCAAATTGAGAAAGAAAGATTTAAAAAAAGAAAGAAAGAACTAGCTAGGCTGCAAAAAGAGAGAGATATTCTTTATTTATACACAATAAGAGAGAGCCGATCGAGCGAGCATCTGCAACCTCGGCCTCTCTGCCATCTCGTCGAAGAGATAAAAAAAAATATATATATATATACCTTTGTATAAAGCTCTGCATCGAGGGTGGACACAGATAAGTCGCACATACAGGACGAAGGCTAAAATAAAAGAGGCGAGCTCTCAATGTCGCGCTTTTATCTTTTACCCAAGAGAGAGAGAGACGACTGGAGGAGGGATATACGTGCGACTCTGTGCGAAAGGACATTTAGAGAGCTTAGAGGGGAGGGATGGCTGGAAATGAGGACGCCGCGGTGCAGAGGAATTTGGCCCCTCTTCCACTAAATCCTTGTATATACAACACGTGTGTGTGTGTGGGTGTGTATAGTGTGAGTGTTATATATACGTAGGTATATGAGTAAAGGGGATAAGTCAATAATATATTTGTCGTAAAGAAGAGAATGCGTGGACTCACCTCGGAGGACGTCAAGTAGCAGAGCCTCGAGTCGGTGCTCTCGAGGGAGGCCTGCTGAACGATGCCGTACCTGCTCTCGCGGTCCGACATGTAATCCGACCTCACGCTGTCCTGTCTGTCGAAGGTGCCCCTGTACGGCAGAGAAAAACAGTCAAGCCACTTTTACCTTCCTTCCTTTCTTTCTTACATTTCTCGAGCGTGACAATCTCTTTCTCGCGCGCACACGCACACACACACACACTCGTGTATAAGCTACGATGCAGAGATACACATGATTGACAAGAATTACATTGTTGTAGTTGGTGGTGATGGTGACTGCGCATGCAATACAATAGTTGGTATACGTATCGATTGGGGGATGAAGGGATAAAAGCGTGCAATTGTGCATCTAGTACAAAGAAGTGCAGGGCGATGGATATACAACATACGGATGCATGCGTATGGCTATAAGTGACAATAAAAAATAAATGTCATCGATCCTTCGATAATATATAAATATATATACGTGTATCATGGAGATGAAGATTTCGGAGCGATCCCACTGCCACGTGCCCATATACCCTCGCGTGTACGTATGTGTGTTTGTTAGAAAAGTGTTATTTACCAACCCCCTCTCAACCCCTTCCTTCCTTTGACCGTGTCTCTTTCACGCATGTAGTTTTTGCTCTTTTGCGCGTTCGTTAGGGCGAACGTTAATTTTTAGCGCTTGTTTCGTTTCACTTTAACCCTTAAAACCTACCCCTTTCTTTTTATTAAACTAGTTTGCGTGTTTTGTTGAAGAAAAACAATTTATTATTGGTTCAAAGGGAATTTCGAATCGACAGTACAAAAATTGCGCTGCGAAGAAGGTAAAGTGAATCGCGTCTTTTAAAACTTCCAATGGGCAGGTATCTATACGTACTTTTCGATATTTCTATACGTATACTTGACCCAGAATGCAGTTAACATTGACGGATGTGTATATATTTGTATACTCTCTGCGCCGTCTCACATTTTGCCGATACATCATGTTATGCACCCTTCGAAGCTCCGACTGTATTCAATTTGTATTTCCTGGTACCTCTACAAGGTAAAACCGATCACCTGCGACATCCTGACTCTATATTTGTTTTTCGAATAAACAACTGCGCCCTAAATAAAAATTAAGGGGAGGGGAAAAAAAACTGGCACTGAACTGAAATTTAAAAATCTAAAACAAACTGCATACTGAAAATACGAGTGCACGGTAAACGAGTTTGTGTGTTGATTGAGATTTTTGCATCAAGAGGGGGAGAGAGAGAGATCGAGGGGAAAAAACTGATATTCGCTTGGGGCTGCAATTGGCGGGTGGAAAAGAAAAAAAGGAGGAATCTCAAGAAGGACATGGCGCAACAGGAGCTAGACGACGAGCGGGTGATAATAAAACAGGTGCCAAGGTGAGCCGATTACGGCCTTCGTCCGAAGCAGACACCATCTCGGCACTCTCTGCGCGTGCAATCCCGTGCAAATCTAAATCTCTCTCTCTCTTCGCTCTACCTGGGAAACCTCCCCCCCCCCTGATTCGCTCTCCTCGGCAAACTTAATTAAGCGCGCGCAATCACAAGTCTTTCCCCCTCAAGTCTCCAGATCCTTGAGTTTTTGTATGTATGTATATTCTCTTCGCGCGTCCGTCTGTGTGTGACACACTTTTCCTTCACTGTGTTGGTTTTTATTTTTCATTTCCCTTTGTAGCTCTGAAAATTCGATCGATACGACAGAGTTGGGTATATACACGGCAAGGAAGAGCTCGAGAATGGGACTGACCGAGACCGCTACGCGAGTGAGCGAACTCGGCTGTGCGGGACACGAGAGGGGTCAATTTGATTTGTGAGGCAAATCAGCTCTGTAAAAACATCACTGTTACCTGTTTAATCTGCTAATTTGAGGACAACCGGATCGTGCAATGGGGGGTGAGATTCGTTAAACGATTGCATTGTACCCCATCACATCTTAAATAATCGTGACGGATTGGTAAAACTGGTTTTTGGGAAGGGATTTGTCGTTTTTTTCTCCTGTAAAATAAAGTCCTCCCGATATTATTCTCAAAATTACTCGAGTAAGGGGAGAAGACCACGACGATGCATCAAGCGCTACCAAGTAGGCCTCGTTTAATCTTATCACCGCACTCAACGCTTCCTCCTCTTTTTCGCTTGGATTCTTTAATACACGTCTAGACACGAAACACCCACCTTTTGTTCTTTTCAGAAAAAAAAAATAAGCGCAACAGGACGCGTTAAAAATCAACCGAGTAGAGGTTTCAGCGTAAAGTAACTTTTGGTGTCCCACGCGGTGCGTTACATATTGTATCGTAGACTTTAGCGATACCAGCCTGGGAGTGCGAGGAGCGAAACTCGATGGGAGAAAAGTACTCTCGCTGCAACCGTATACCTGCGCACATCTTGCGTTTCACTCGAGCTGCCGAGAACGAAAGAAAATCTCGAGTCTTGAGAGGCTTCTAATCCAGAGTGTTGGGAGGAGAAGTTTAAGGCTCCAGTAGGTGATTAGAGGCAAAGTTCCGTGTTTCGCAATAATTACAGCAGTGGCTCGGAAAACTGCGAAAAGCAGAGAAAGGAAGAGAGAGGCAAGTATAGTTATACGGTGTACAATACAATCGACGGTAAAGCCGGTGACAGCTGGAGCGGGGTGTTTTGCCGGCGAGCCGAAAAGAAGGTGAAAGACGTTTCAAAGGACACGAGCGGACGCTTGGGAAGTTGTCGCGCGTGATGGTAAGGCCAGGACAATGGCTTGCTTCCTGGACGTAGGTGGTGATGGGTATGTACATTGTAATGAAAACAATGGCCGTGCTATCGCGAGGCTTGGAAAGTAGAAAGGTATGTTTACACGTATACGCTCTCGGGGAGAGTTGGGGATGCTCGGATGAGGTATTTCGAGTGGAAAGTTACAAGTGTTATCGAAAAGCCGACCAAGAGAGAAAAAAATAAGAGGGAATGTATGTGGATGGCGTGGGGAGGGAAAGGGGAAAGATATCGGAAAAGTATGCACAGGGAAACTCGAGCCTTACCCTCCTCGTGCGGCTTTGATGCCGATGTTGGCGTATCTACTTGATGCGGGCTAAGGGAAATATGTACCAACTGCTTGTTACGAGGAGGGTTTATTGTCTTTTTTTTTTTTTTTTCTTTTCTTTTTTTTCTAGAGATTTGTTTAAAACTTTTTTGAAATGCTACACGTGCGAAGGTATTTTTGATCTTTATTAGTGGCAACCGCGGAATTGGTGGGACAAAATTTAAGAAAAATGGGGGATGAGTTTTCAAGTACTCGGAAACTTTGAAATAGGAGCTGCTGCCGCTGATTAAATAAAATATGATAAGTACACAAGTTGCGCGAGGCCGTCCTTTTTGACCTGGTTTTATTTTTTCTCGCATTTTTTTCTTTATTCAACTTTTTCGAACATCAAAAAATGACGACTCGACTATTTTGAGAGCAGAGTTTGCATTTTATTTTTTGTAAAACCGGACAAAACTCGAGTAGCGCATCACTCGTACGCGTCGGACAATCCGATATCGTATTGGCAAAAAAGTACATGAGTAGAACAATATTACGAAAAAAAAAAAAAAGTCATCCAACACACGTGCCCGCGAGAGATGATCAAAATCGGGGCCAGGGGCATTCGCGTGGAATTCAATTACCGAATGGTGACGCGCATACTTCACAGCCCCTCGACACCCATACTTGTGCGCCGAACAGTCGCAATCGTCATGTACAAAGTCGAGCGGCGAAATAAAAGGTACAAGGTGAGACGAGTGCAGGTAAGGGAGAGCCAAGAGGCTCAAGAAAGAGGAGGAGCAAATGTATGTGTGCGTATAGAAAAGTAGACGCTACGAGGGGTCACAGCGGAGAGGGTTACGTAAGGCAGAGAAGGTAGGTGCAAACGATCGAACAGCAACTAGCCACGCAACTATCACCGACGCGCCACGATTTTCCTTATCGTCCCCGAGCGTGTACCCTTTATCCTGTGCGCGTTTTCCCCCGTCCCCCTCTCACTATTGTACGCCACTTTTTGTCACCACTTTGTCCGTTTAGGTCTTTTTCGAGTGAGAGCGAGTCAATTGGCGAGCGCAGCTTTGACGCAATTATTGCTTCTTTCCTATTCCTCCCTGCCTCCCTTTTACGCGCAATTTTCATCAGCTCGAAAGGTCGCAACTTTTTTGCTAATTGGACCCGAGTTTAATTTAATAGCACTGTAATTGGAGGACAAGCCCGCGCTTTGTTCCGCTTTTTTTTTTTTTTTTTTTTTTAGCGTCTCCGTAGAAGAAAAACTTATCGTTTAGAATACCGACTGCAGTCTCTTTACTCTAGTGGTTCTCGGTAGCGGGTGGTTAGCCGTTTTTTATTGGATGATAGAACTCTGTGCAGTTTGGACGATTAAGTATGCAGTGCGGTCGTGGTGATAACGGGGCATTATCTGGCATGTCTGACTAAACTCGGACTTGGCTACTTTAAAATTAAATTTATCGTACTCGCCAAAAACTCTTCTTAAATGCTACAAACAACCAATTTCCTACTCTATAAATATACTCTTGAACATAAAAAACAGGGCTTATCTATTGAGGCTGACAATACTTGGACTGTACTACTTAAAAATTTATTCTTCGGTCCTTGCGTGAGAAGCCTCACTAACTGAGTTATAAAAAACCGTTTGGATCAATTAATAATTTTCTGACTCAAAGATAATTTCATTAATCAAATAAACGCAACTTATCTGAAATGTATGACTAAACTCGGGTATTACTACTGAAAATCCAAGTTTTCACTCCATAAAGCGATGATTATCAATTTTCTATCTGACATTTGACCCATCAAAATGGCACGACTGACCAAACTCAGACTTAACTACTTAAAAAATACAGGGTTTGTCCATATCACCAAATAGCTCTACGTGAAAGCTGTTTTGATGTATACATTTAGTTTTGTATTTCGTGGTTATGATATTGACATAAAGACAAGCAGATATAATTTGGCATGGCTGACAAAACTCGGTCTTTACTACTTATATAGTGATTTTGGTCGTTACCTAAATTCTTGACATTATCCTACATTAGATTTGCTTCTGATGTCTGACTAAACTTGGACAGTACTACTTAAAAATCGAATGTATGCTCTTTACTCTAGTGTTAATCTATTAAAGCGAATGTACAAAAAATTGTTTGGAATGTACGATCAAGCTTGGGCTTTACTACTTAAAAATCTAATTTGATCATGCAAAAATTATGACTTGGCAACCCTACGAAAAACCTACTCTAATTCATAAATAAGCTACTTTAGAGTGAATAAACTAAAACTAGTACAAATCGGACGAGCATTTTGAATAACACCAAGTGTTGATTGACGTTAAATAGTACGAGCTAATTTATCACAATCTACTTCTAACAACAAATTTAGCGTAGACTCATGTATTGAACGAAAAAAAAAACACTAATGATCATTGTGTTGGCTGAAAATGAACCAAAAGCTCATTCCTAAGCAACCTATGAAAAATAACGATTCATCGTCAGCTCGATTAACAACGCAGTTTCATTCGTTCATGGAAAAACCGAACCCCTTCAAGTCCCGAAATCTCTACCCCTGTCGTGCATCTCGTTTTATATACCACACGAAACTATTTCAATTTATAATAACGACGAAAAAAAGGCATATACATATGTCTGAGAGAATGACCAGTGCCTTTCATCGCGAAATTAATAATTCAAAGTAAAAACGAACACTCGCAAGCTGGACGTAGCTAGCGACCCTTGAAACTTTTCTTTATCCTGGAAAACTGCGCATTAAGCCAAAACGCCAGCGGACAACCCCGCAAGCTGAAAATCAATGCGAATCGCAGCAGCAGCTCTTTGTATATACACACACGCCCACAAACTTTTGTTCAATTGGATGAATTCGCGCGTTTTAAATTCACCGAGGAAAAAGGTCACCGCGTGGGAAAGAGGGAATCGTTAACGAGCCCGATGGGAAAACCGCTCACATGCGCGCGGTATATACACGGCAGCGAGCGACGTGTAAATAGAATAGAGCTAGTTAGCGAAGGAGAGAGGATCGTTGCTTTCTCCCCGCACGCGAAAATGCAATTATCTCGCGCGCCGCTCTTCCAAGGAGAAATGAGGGGCAGGGGGGGTTCACGGAACTTTGCTACGAGCAGGTATAGGGTGTAAACGCTGAACGGAGTTTTTGTCGCTATCCTCTTTAGTGTTTTCCGGCGGCTTTCTTGGTAAGGTTTTTCATTTTTGCTCTTTATCTTGTACAACTGCAACAAGACAGTCTGCGCGGAAATAGAATTTTCCGTGTCAGTGAGGACGTTTATTAACTCGCCTAGAGCTCGTTGTACTTGTTTTTTGTTTAATGTATTTTTTATATTTTTTTTTATATTCACTTATTCTTTATACTGGTTATCGATTGGTGGAATCTAGTATTGTAGAAATACATATTGGGTGTATTTTGTTTAGTAAGAGTAACAACATTCAGTTACAAATGTAGACTTTAGATCGTTTGAAAGTAATAATAATAACATTCTTACAAACCACAATTGTTTGTGGTAAGATAAGTAGGTGAGTGTTTATGTTGAGTATTAATTAATAATTTTTTTGTGGTTTCATATTACCTTAATATTCAAGTGCAACGTGTTCACTATTACCTGTTTGTTCACACGAATGCAAATCCTCGCAATTATAATATATATATTCAGGGTAAACTATTAAGAAAAATAATAGAAAAATAACAATAAACATACAGACTTGTGTTGCTCTAAACAATCATTAGCTTATAAAAATTTCTTTCATCACCTAATAACACGATGCACAATCATATCTATTATCTATAACGTATTTCACATATTAATGGAGTATCCAGTGCAATCGGTATGGACATATAGATTTAGTACAGGGGGTAACCACTATAGAGTCAAGTACGCAAATATATAATGTATAATTGTATTGAGGGTCAAATCAAGACACATAAGTATATCGAAGTGCGGAAAAAAGTAGATTTGTGCGCCTCATGTAGCAAAGAAAGACTTGAAAAAAATAAATAAATAAAAAAAAGGTATCAAGTAGATGTAAAAAAAAAAATATACGTATAACAGGACATTACAAGAGAGAAAAAACAAAAAAACAAAGACCAACCCCTAAGTGGGTTTTTCCACAATCCTTAAGAAAGAGCCTCGCACCGGCCACAGTCACCCACGTCACGATACACAGCACACACACACACACACACACTGCAGGCACTCGGCAAATGGTCTTGCTGCACCTCACCTGTGTTCGAGCGAGTCGGTCCTGTTGGACTTGTATCCGCTGTCGTTGAGGCTGTTCTCGTGGCGCAGCGACGGCAACGAGTCCCAGGTGGACTCGCGCCTGTGTCCGATCGGGCCGTAAGAGCCCTGGGCGGTGCTCGAGGCGACCGAGCCCAAGGTCGAGCTGCCCGACTGCCAGCCGTCCGAGTGGCGGAACCAATGGGCCCGCGCCGAGGCGCCTATGCAGCTCATGCATCGGCTGATGACGGAGTATCGAGGTGAGTTTACGGACGAACAAGCGCGCAATCGCCATTCATACCACTCGCACACGGACAATCCTTTCTTTTTCACACTTTACCCGGTATCACGATCTCGGTAGGTGCTTTTTTTTCTGACCACCGTTTTTTCGTCGAGTTTAATTTTTTGTTTTTCTCTCTTTTCCTTTCTGCGTCTATTTGTTACCGATACACCTACGTGCCCGTTATACCCCCCTGCCCTACCTTCAGCCCGTCCTTTCGAGTTACGTTTGTTGCCAACCCGACCTCCTTTTTTCTTCTATTCTCGCAACTGCTAGCAAACAAGGCGCGCTCGAGCTTGCAGGCCTGACCCCACACTGAGGTACAACGTTTCCATGTATGTGAGTACCTACTCGCAATAATGTTGTCACTAGTGCGTATGAACGATGGTGTTTACGGTTTTCCTTTGTGTTACAAGCTGAGATTGCCTTGTGCACTCTGTTGTTCCCGTGGGGCCGCGTTTTTTCTTTTTTTATTATTTTTTTATTTTATTTATTTCACATATCCAAAGCTTTACCCCGTTATTTTTTTTTTCAAGTAGGTTAGCAGTGGAAAAAAAAAACCAAACCGATACTCATGATGATCACTGATTACGATTGGAGTTTTTTTTTTTTTTTTTTTTGTTGGGGTGAAAAATTAATGAGAGCGTTTGTGTTACTTGCTACTGTATATGTGTGTGTATATATTTTTCTTTATTTTTTTTCAAACGATGCTTGAACTCTACTGCGTGTCAAATTTAGTGTATGATGGTCGTTTGTTGAAATAATACAGAAAGAGAGCGATAGATGCCAATCAACTCTAGTGAACAGATTTCAAAGCGTGAATAAATGTCTTTCAACTTATGTACAGATAACGATTTCTTTCCTTGCCTTCTTTCTTTCATAATACTATTTGTCGTTAAAAAAAAAAATGTATTTTTCTTTACTTTCAACAAAACAATTTATATGTTTCTAGCTGGAAAAATTCGTATTTACTCAAACTACTGGACAAGCTATAGAACAAATCCGAAGCTCTTAATTTTTCACCGATGTCCAAAAGCACATAATTCTAAAGGAAAAAAAGTAAGCCGTACAAAATATTAACTTTCAAAAAAGCAACACGTTTCCAAAAAAAAAAAAAAAAAAAAAAAAAACACGACGAAAAACCCGCAAGGAGACTTCCTACAAGAGCCCAGCAACCAAGAGTGTGTACAAAGCAACAACTCGTGTTCAACAAACTTCGAATGCGTTAATTGACATGACGTCCGACACACAACTCTACTGCACATGAACGACACGTCCAACACGACTCTATCTCACCACATGGTAACAAATTGATATGTATGACAAATAGGAAAAAAAAAAAAAAAAAAAAACCACCACCCTTGTGACAACGGTGGTTGCCGCGCTTGTGACAAATTAAACGACAGGTAAGTATAACTCTGCATGCGTGAAAGGCCGTCGTTGCGGTACCTGGAGTTGTAATCGCTCAAGTATCCCCTGTCCCGCTCCTGCTCCCTCTGCTCCCTCGTTCTCTCGCGTATGATCTCGTTCCTGTCGCTGTAGTAGCCGTCCCTGCTCTCCCGGCTGCTCTGTCTCTCGGTCGCGTACCTGTACGACAGCGGCAGGGTCGACGACTTGTTCGCGCTCGAGCCTAAAACTTGATTGCGCGATTATTATTGACCATTTCCATGCCTCCGCTACGTGGATAAATAACAATAATATGTTATATATGTATGAAAAAAATCCACTGACGTCTCCTCGTTGGGTGTGGCGTGCGCTGGATCGTCTGGGTCTGCTGCTGCTGCTGCGACTGGTTGATCGGTATACTCTCGGCCAGTTCTGAAAGAAAATATATGCGATGCAATTATTTAGGTAAGGCGATCTAGGAGGGGCTGTGGGGGACAACGCGTTAAGCCTCACCAAGGTTCTCCATGCTCTGCGACAGGAGCGCCTCGAAGGTGTGCAGGCTAATGCTCTCGGCGTCCATGCCCTTGGCCAGCGTGTTCCTCAGGTGCATCTCGTACTCGAGCAACAGCCTGTTTGTCGTCGGACTGCCCGGCGTCGACACCGACGACTGCTGCTGCTGCTGTTGTTGTTGTTGTTGTTGCTGTTGTTGTTGTTGTTGTTGTTGCTGTTGTTGTTGTTGCTGCTGCTGGAATTGTTGTTGTTGTTGTTGTTGCTGTTGTTGTTGTTGGAGGTGTTGCTGCTGCTGGAGCTGCTGGCAGAGCTGGCTGTTGCACCTGCGCGACTGGCAAGCGAGGCCCGACTGCTGCATCTGCACGTGCATTTGCTGAGCTGGGTGGAGGTGTTGGGGGTGCATCTGATGGGGGTGCTGGTGGCTATGCTGCTGAAGCCCGTGTTGTTGTTGCTGGTGATGGTGCTGCTGCTGCTGCTGCTGCTCCATGTCGGAGTTGCCGTTGGAGGAGCTCGGGGTCGTTGCGTAGCACTGGTTGTCGAAGATGACGTTGTCCGAGGGCGGCGAGACGTCACCTGTACAGCGCACATCACGTTCCGGGTCTAAGTACACGGCTCTCTGGCAATGGGCGCGGGGGGAGAGGCGCGGCTGTTGTTGCGATCGTCGCCGTCGCCGGGGGGAAGTCGACGACGACGGGTACAACAACTTGGTGCCGTTGACGAAGCGCGAGGATACCACGGGGGAGTGCAGGTGTGGTTGGTGGTTGTGATGGGTAGTGGTGGTGGTGGTGGTGGTGGTCGAGGAAGACAGACACGAGTTTAACGCTACGTGGAGCGCGGGTGGCGGTTGCAACGTGCAGCTGTAGCTTGAGTTGGTGGTGGCAATGTTATTAGTGCAGTTATCACCAGTAGCGACTGTAGCGGCGGACGTAGCGGCGGATGTGGTGCTCGTGCAGGCGCTCGTGCGAGAGGAGGAGCCGAGAGTGGGAGTGGTGACAACGGCGGCCCGGTTGCAGCTGCCGCTACTATTGGCGTTATTGGCGGCCTCCGCGAGCAGCAGCTGCTGCCGCCTCGCCTCCCTCCGTTTCCCGGTGCCGGTCTTTCCCGAGACCCCCCCGGCCTGATGGGACGGCGTGTGCAGAGCTATGGAGACAAAACACAGGGACACACGTCGACGACGTGCGACGTCAGACGGTGCGTGGTACGTGTGTGCCTTACGAGTAGATTCACACGCACAGACAAGTAGATATATACATATAGACATTATTGGGGGGGCTGCTGGCTTGTTTTCTTTACGCGTCCGATAATTGTTGTTGGCTGCTTTTTCACTCGTATGACTCATACGTATGTATGGTCGATTTGCCCGGGAAAATTTTGTGGAAAGGACGATCAGAAAGGGGGGGGGGTTCTATGTTTTTTTTGGGGGGGGGGAGAGCACTAGCTCTGTGCAACTATATCGATGCAGCGTACAAAAGACATATGTACCCTTTAAACATTGAAACACGTAAAATTGAAAAAATGTAAATTGGCCACTGTGGATTTTTGACGATTATAGAAGCTCTTATTTTACAAGCATTGAAATTGATTACAATTCAATTACTGCATTTATTTTAGTTCATCAAAGTTCACATGAAATAATAAATTAAGCTCCTATCGCAGAAATTCACAGTGCATTTTCGTACATTGACAAGTATCGAAAGAATCTTGTGATGTAATTGTAGCTCAAAAAATTTGTATTGTGCTACGTATATGAAAAAAAAAAAAAAAAAAAAGATGTGTGCTAAAAAACACGTTTATATTTAAATAATGTTAATGTTGAAATATCGAGATATTAAATATTTGATAAAAGACATATAGAAACATGCAAATGGGAATTATAATGTATGCAATTATCTCTCAGATCCATTGGATTTTACGTTTGTTTATGTATATTCATGTGCTTGCACTTTTCTTGCAGTATAAAAAATTTTACCATAAAATCTATTCTATAGCAGAGGCGATATTTAAAATTCAAATTAAGGTAAATTTGCAAACTTTGAGACAAAAGAGATATCGTAAAACGTCGATAAAATATACAAATACTTGTCCAGTATATTAATGATCAAACGAAAAATCACTGTTTAAATGGCCATAATTCAATATGAAAAGGGCGATAATCAAACTTTGACGTTTTATTACAAAAAACTTGTCGCACCATATTTTATTCTGTTTATTGCTGTTTCGTTTATTTTTACACTCAATTTAAATCATACGATGCAAAGATTTATACTTTGAAAATTCAACTTGAAAATCTAAAAATTGTTGATCAAGCAACGTCTTCTTTTTTTCTTTTTTCTACCACGTCTCGGAGTAAAGCCCAAGCCGTTTAAACAAATTTTTGGTTGAACAATCATTGCACCGATAAAATGCACTTCTCCGTAATTTTTTTTTTAACTCAACAATAAAGTTCTGGAAACAAGGTACACAGCTCAAGTAGCAAACAACAAGGGAATAAAGCCTCTTATCAGTGCAAGCGTGACTATCCGCCACAGCAATCATATCTCATTCCTCGCAAAAAAAGCATGAAAAAAAAAGCGCGATGTATATATACACTATAGAGAATATGTAGTAATAAAAAAAGTTGAGGCAGGGGGGTGGGGGTCTAGG